TGTTATTTATTTCTATGTGGTGCTGAGGATCGAACCCAGTGCCCACACATAGGAGGCAAGTGCTCCACCACTGAGCTCCAGCTTCAGCCCAGCTTCCTCCTCTCATCCTTCCTGCTGCCACGAGGTGACAGCTGTGCTCCAGCACACACATGCTGCCGTGATGTTCCACTTGCCGTAGGCCCAAAGTGAAGGGCACGGATCATGACTAGAGCCTCTGAATCTGTGAGCCAAAATATGTCTTTCCTCCTTTAAGCCATTTATTTCAAATATTTTGTCTTGGCAGAATGGACAGCTGACACACACTGGGAACTTGGCTTCTCTGGCATGGTGTGGAGTGGACTGAGCAGCCAGAAGGACCTGGTGGAGCTCTGGGCCTCTGTGCAGAGGTGGCCTGGCATAGCATGCAGGGTGCAGGCAATGAGGCTGGGCTCCCAGCACTCGGTTGACTGCTCATGCTGGCTTGATTCGCTACAGTTCTGGGGCGTTTTGCTCGTCCTTGAGAATAAGCTGTGTTGGGTCGGATGGTGCTTCAGATTCGGCCAGGTCTGCCTGGACTCTTGGCACTGCCCCGAGTTCTGATTCTCTAGTAAAGAAGCTCAGGCTGGGATGATGTGCCCCTCGAGGCTGTCACCTTGTCCCTCTTCAGAAGTGTTGCTGGTCATGGATGTGGTCAGGACAGGGCCTACACCCCAGCTTCTGCTTCTGCTGCAGTTGCTCCACAGAGTGGCCTGTGCTTGGCAGCAGCCACTAATCAGTTTGCTTGTTTCGTGTGCCTTGTTCAGAGCTCAGACATCAAATAGCCCAGCTGACGTCACACAAGGCCCCTTGTCTTCATGGTGGGGTGTACACGCCTGCCCTATTGCTGAGCGGGCCTGGGCCTGGCTTTGTGCCCATAGGGTTGTCAAGAGTTGCAACCTTATAAACCTTGTTGGGGGGGGGGTTCAGTCTGCCAGGTGACTATGGGCCTGTCCAAAGGCCAAGGAGGTGGGGGCAGATGTCGGCCCACAAACCAGTCTGCAGCCTACAGAGTCTGCAGCCCCCAGGGCTGCTGCAGTGGCCCTGAGCAGCCTCTGCAGTCAGCATTCCATACCCCAGCTCTGCGGGAATGGCCTGTTTGGGTCCTGTTTCCTGGGTACCATGGAGATGCATGTTTGGGAGCTCCCAGGGGCCAGGCTAGAGGGGCCCTCGCCAGGATTCCTGACCTGGCCTGCTCCAGCTTCCTTCATTTCAGCATGACATAGGCAGGTTACTGTCTGGGTCAGTTTCCACTGGTCTTAGATTCTTCTTTTTTCTTTTGAAGTAATTTCAGAATTACAGAAAAGTTGCAGGGATCACTAGAGAGAATCCATTCCTGCTGTGGTTGGGGTGCACCACCACTGGGCAGTCCGCTTGGGCTGCCGTCCTCCTCTCTCCGGCACTGTCCTTGCTGGGCCAGTCCTGTTTTCCTCTCAGCCCTCCGTGCCCTCCATGCCCTGAGCCCCACAGCATCCCTGACACCCGACCTTCAGGATCTATTATCACCTTACTTGTGATTTGATGCTGTGCCCAGCCACGTGGATACCTCACCCTCCCTCCCTCCTTGGCCACTGGCATGTGCACAGGTCTGCCACCCCACTCCTGTACCTGCTGCAGTGCTGGGGTGCTGTGCACTAGGAGGTTGTCCCACCAGCCAGAGGAGCAGCTGTGAGGAGCCCTGGGCCCCACTGCTTGCCCTTCACCTCACCATTCCTGTCCCTGCCCGCCTTCCACCTGGGCTGAGGTGTGCACAGTTCTAGCCTCTCCCTTCAGATAGGCAGTGAGAGGGCAGGGGTGAGCGAGAAGGAGAGCAAGCTGGCTCCAGGTACATCTGGAAGCAAGGACACAGACTATCCAACTCTGGCTCGTAGCTCTGGAGAGGGCCTGAGTCCCCTAGGAGTCAGGGCATGGAGCTCGTGCCTGTTCCTGAAGTGATGTCTGACGTAGCTTGATGGAACTTGCTTCTGTATTGTTTGTCCTTAGACACCGTGAGTTCTTTGTTGTGCTGGCCAGGAAAATCTGCATGCATCAGAAGTCAGGAGACAGAGTCTCCTACAGACGTGTTCTGGGGAGCGTGGGCCTGAGGCTGCAACCACGTCACCTTGGGACAATCAGTCAAGGCAAAGGACACAGGGAGCTCTGTTTGCTCTGCTCTATAGCAGACTTGGGCAGAGAGCCGCACACAATGAGCTCATCGCCACCCACACTGTGCCCAGCCAGTGAGGCTCCTTTTCCTGCATGCAGGACTGAGCCAGGGATGCACTTGGCTGGGGCTCCCTGTAGGGTGGTCTTCTTCTCCAGGGGTGGTGACCATTCTCTCTGGTTTATGGCATAAACTTACACATCATGGCAGAAGTTCATTTGACCCATTGCCTGAGGACACACGGGCTGTGAGGGGTTCAGTGACAAGTGAGGGGCCCCTTGTCCTACACGCCAACTCCTGCAGCCCAGTGCTTGGTCCTGGCCTCTGTCCTCAGTCCTGCTTCTGCACCGGCCACAGGTAGTGTTCCCTTGCTGGCGATAGCCCACCTGGTCTCTCTCTGAGCTGTGGCTGTCTGCAGTGCCAGTCTTAGAGCTGCCTGAGGCTCCAAATGGCATTGCCCAGGCCTCTGCAGGGCTGGCTTGTCCAGCCTGTGTCCACCATCAGCTAACTCCTGGATAAGCTGAGGTCACCACAGGGCACACGATTTTTGGTCCTGCCCCAGGTCTGTGCATTGGGGGCACATGGGCATGATGGGCCTGGAAAGTCCCACATCCTGCAGCTGGAGGCCTAGTGCCCTTTCTGGTAGCTCAGTGAAGCTACACCTGCGACCACATCTTGAGTCCTGGTTTATTTGGGGGACTAAACTTCCAGATCCCATGTTCCCAGGATCCCTTCAGCAATGTGGTCCCCTGCGCACAGGTGAAGTCTCCACTCAGCCCAGACTGAGACTGCTCTACCTCTCTACAGGGCCCAGCTATCACGTTGCACTGAGGTCCTCATCCACAACAGTTCCCTGTGACCCTGGACATGTTACTGCCCCTTTTGAGCCTCAGTTTTCCCATTTGGGAAGTGGGGCCGGTTTGTCACATTCTTTTTTTTTTTTTTTGGGTACTGGGAATTTAACACAGGAGTGTTTTACTTCTGAGCTACATCCCAGCCCTATTTATTTTTGAGGCAGGGTCTCACTAAGTTGCTGAGGGCCTCAGCCTCCTGAGTAGCTGTGATTACAGGCATGCAGCACCACACCCAGCTCATCAGTTTCCTAGCTGAAGTGTAGCCAGTTCTGAGTGGCTTCGGGTGGTCAGCTTGAGCTCACAGAGTGGCCGTCTGCCTTCACAGGTGATTGGTGGTGGCAGTGTGGGCCTTGGGGAGCAAGGCCTGTATCTGGCTGCATCTTTCCTGAGGAGGTGGGCGTCTCCAGCAGCCCAGGGGCCTCAGCAGCACCACAGATCCTGTGGCTTAAGTGGCAGTGTATGTCTCCTAGGCCTGGTTTCTCTCCTGAGCGTGTAGACAGTGTCTTCTCACAGGGTCATCTTCTCTGCCTGTGACCTGATGTTTTAAGAACATCAGTCAGAGCCGCGTGCAGTGGTGCATTCCTGTACGCCCAGCAACCCAGAGGCAGGAGGATCCCAAGTTCAGGGCCACCCTGGTGGTGGGGTGGGAGGTAGGTCAGTGGTAGAGGGCACAGGGTGCTTGGCAGCCCTTGACAGGGAGCTGTCCCTGGGCCTTTGTCTGTAGCTTGGCACACACTGCTCCAGCTTTCCTCATTTCCCTGAATGAGGGCACAGCTGCCCTGGCCCAGGCTCTGTGGCACTGCAGTGTGGCCGTGGCTTCCGCTGTGCAGGGGGACCAGCGGCCCTCCCTGTTGTGTGCAGCTTGTGCTTGTTTCCCCTGCCCTGGAGCCAGGTGAAGCTGTGCTGAGTGGATCACCTTCAGAAGTGGCTGGCAGGGCTTCAGACCTGGCRCTAGACTGACGCATCTGTGGGGCCCAGGCTGTTCGCTTGTCTGAGCTTACAGGAGCACACCCCATTCCCACTGCTGCCCCGCCCTGGGACAGTGTGCCCTGCCAGAATTCTCTGAGGTGCAGCACGTGGAGAAGACCTGGGGTGCGGGAGGTGATTGGTGGTGGCAGTGTGGGCCTTGGGGAGCAAGGCCTGTATCTGGCTGCATCTGGCTCTTAGTTTGAATGTGGTCAGCCTGGTTATGGAAGGGACAAGCAGCCGATGACAGCTGAGTACCCGGTCATCCTCAGACTAGATGGGGTCAGTGGGCATGAGGCCAGCATTGGGGGTCCCTGACAGTGAAGGTGTCCAGCTTGGCTGCCTTCGCACCACCCACCCCACCCCACTGGGAATCCTTCTTTTCTTCCTTCACTGGGGCTGTGGTGTGGGCTGAGAGCTTTCCTAGATGGAGTCCCAGGAACCCCAATGCTATGGGACCAACTGATGGTGTTCCTCCAGTCCCTGGCACACACCCTCGAGGTACAGCCAAGAGCAGACACTGGATGTAACTACCTTCCTGTCCACGCTGGAAGAACACTTGTGCTCTCAGGGGGATATCGCCTTGGAGAGCCCGCTACCCGTCCACAGGCTTCTGCCCAGTTCAGGTTCCTCCCTGCAAGCTGTCCACTAGCCTCTTAGTGTGTGGCTGTCCTATAGTCAGTCCTGAAGGTCAGCTTGGGGTGGGTCAGAGAAAGGGAGGCTTCCTTGTTAGTAATGGCCTGGGCTTTCTGGGGGAAGTCCAGGGGTCTGTGGCCATTGCCTTAAAGAGCTACCTGGTTGTGCTGGCACACTAAACTGTCCCCAGTGCCACACGGAGCCTGTGGAAGTTGAGGGCTTGCATGGCCCAGCTGCTGTGAGTCGCAGYGGCCTGGGTGTGGGGCACTGCTGCCCTGGCCTCGACTTCAGGCTCTTCAGCCTCCCTGTGGGAGCTCTGGGCTGCCTGCTTGAGCAGAACACTGTCTTGGACGCTCGTTACTCACCCACTTACTCTCTCTCCTCAGGTGCTGAGGCAAAGGCCATTTTGCCCAAGAAGGAGAAGCTGAGGCTGCGTAGGGAGCGATGGCTGCAGAGTAAGTCTATGCCCCGTCTGCTGGGCACCCACACTGCCTTGCTCTCCTCAGCTGGCGGCACCTCTGCCATAACTGGGCTTCTGCACCAGCTGTCCTCCCCACTTGGGGGTACCAGGAACCAGAGGAAGACACCCAAGGGGGATCCTTCAGCTGCATTCATGACCACTGGTGTGGCCCGCTGACCACCGAGGTGCTGGAGGGTGTCAGGCAGGCCTGGTCACACAGCAGAGTGCAGTGGGCTGTTCTGGATCGGGGTGCAGCTGCCCACCTCTTGTGAGCCCCCGAGGGTCAGGGTCTGCTCCCTTGGAAAGCTGCCGTGCTTGTCCCCTTGTTGGTCAAGAGGACCTGTTTCTGGGTCCTCCTCCAGGGCCTCTGGGAGGCGGCTCTGCTCCACCCAGCCAGACCTCTCCAGCAGGCCACGCTTCTCTCCTTGCTCCTTTTGGTTTGGAAAATGTAGTTATTTGTGATGCTGGATACTTGCTAATGTTTTTCTAAAGATTTTCTTCTTTCTTGGAAAAATACCAAAAATTGTTTGTGATTTTTTATTAGTTATGTTTTTAGTATTATTCTGCCACCTTGTAAAATTGATTTGGAACTTGTTCTTCATATTCTCACATGTTGAAATACGGATCAAGTTACTCTTGAAGATTTTAAAGAAAGTGTCATGTTTTTCAGAGGCAGTGCTCGGGCAGTTTTCAGTCCCTTCCATAATTGATTTCTTGTTTTCTGTCACTGTTTGTATGTTTTAAAAGAAATGATTCCTTCCTTTATTTTCTTTTTCACAATTCCTTATCACAGAGTTGTACAAAACACTCTTAGTAAGGTAAAAGTTAATGGATCCTGGGCATTCAGATTTGAACATCCCTGGGGTATGGTTTTTTTTTTTTTTTTTGGTACTGGGAATTGAACTCAGAGGCACTTAACCACTGAGCCACATCCCAGCCCTTTTTATTTCTTAAATTTTGAGACAGTTTCACTAAGTTACCAAGCTTGGCTTTGAACTTGGATCCTCCTGCCTCAGCCTGCAGAGTTGCTGGGATTACAGGTGTGGCCACTGTGCCCAGCGGGGCTGTAGTTCTAACACATATTTGGGATGTGTAAGTTTTCATCTCTGTGCCAGGTTGTTTTGTTGTCTTGGAGTTGATTATTTGCTGCTCATGTCTTCCCCTGAAATAACCAAGTCAGCTCTGAACCTTGATGTCGAGTTGAGGATGTGTGTGCTTCCTGTTCCTRAGCATCTGCCATGTTCTCTCCATCAGTCTTTCTTTGCACCACCACCATTTCTGATTGGTGACTTTTTATCTCGTCCAAAACAGAAAATTTGTAATTGTCATTCCTATTCTTGTTTTCTAAATGACTGTTTTATTAATCTCCTGTGCTGGCTTTCCTTAGACTTGTTTGAATGACCTAGTTCCTCTGTTTTCATTAGCAACGAAAGGCTGTATATTGGCCTCTGGATGCAGCTACAGCTACATCTCCCAAGTTGTTTTTACTTAGTATTTTTTTTTTTTTAATTTCAAAAACTTGATTCAGAAAAGTGAGAAGAATTTATAGTGAACACCCTTGTACTTACCACATGCATTTTACAACCAACCCTGTCTTTATTATGTAACTATTTATCCTTTCCTGTCCATCCATCAACAATTTTTAAATGATTCCAAAGAAGGTTGCAGGCTTCAGTAGGCTTCACACCAAATAATTCTGCTGGAGTTCGGTTGGTTTATGGAGACTTCCTCCCCCGCCCCCCCTTTTGAAGACTGTATTTACGTACAATGAACCCTGGTGTCTAACAGGTCAGAACACTTGTAGCTGAAGTCCCCTTCAGAGCACTGACCTTTCCCGTCACCCAGAGATCCCTTCCCTTCAGGATATCTCCCTTCCTAGCTGCCAGAGGGAGCGTAGCGGTCAGCTGTGGTTGTCTGAAGGCCAGGTTTGGTGACTCCTGTGAGCCAAGTCCTGAGGAATGTGCTCTGTGTCTGTCTTCCTGCCAGGTTGCCCAATGCGGTAGCCCATGCCCCTCATGGCAAAGAAGCATCTCTGTGGCCCAATCTTCTGTTTGTGGGTGCCTAGATTTTTCCATTTTTGGCCACTGTGAATAAGACTGTAATGAACATTCTTTTCAACTCTTTTCTGTGGACATGTTTTTGTTGCTCTTGTGTAAATACTTAGGAATAGAATGTCGGGTCATAGGGTAGGTGTGTGTTTAGTGTTACAAGCAGCTGCCAGACATATTTCTGAAGTAGTTGTGCACTTGCACCTCCAGCGGCATTGTGTGAGAGTTGTGGTGGCCTGCAGCCTTGGAGGTGTCTCCAGGCCTGGCTGTCTGGTGACCCTGGCCTGGGGTCATGGTGCAGTTAGTCCTCACGCTGTGGCAGAGACTTTTCATGTGCTTTGTCTTCAGTGACTTACATTTTTCTTGAGGCCCTTTGCCTTCTTATTATTGAACAATTCTTTATAAGTCCTGGGGACCAGTCCTTGATCATTTGTGAGTTCACAAATATTTTCTTGTAGACCATGCCTTGCCCGTTTGTTTTCTTAGAAAAAAAGATTCTTTGATGACAGGAGTTTGATTTTGAGAAGTTTCTTCTCTATTTTCTTACGTGGTTATGGTGTATGTGTCCTACTTGAGAAAACTTTGCCTAACCCTGGGTCGTGAGGATGCTTTCTTTTGAAAGTTGTGTGGTCTGGATTTGCATTCATGTTGTCTGCCGTGGGTCAGTGGGAGGGCCGCTCTCCTTCCCTTTGCAGACCTGTGTGGGCTGTGCAGTTATTGCCCACCATTCCTGATGAAGGCTCTCTTCACTGGCTGGCTGTGGCACCCAGGAGGCCTCCGGGGTGGGTCTGAACTGCACCTTGACAAGCACCTCCTGTCTGGGTTGTGGCAGCTGCAGGTGAGGCTGGAAGGCAGATATGCACACGTCCTCCATCTCAGTGGATCTTGCTGTTCTTGGTTCTTGGCATTTCCGTATCATTTTGACCATTCGCACGTCACTTTAAGAACAGCAGCGGCAGTATGATGGGGATTGCACTGAATCTGCACTACACGTCAGTTTGCAGCAGTGTTGGCTCTGCAGGTCCGTGAACATGGTATATTTCAACATTTATTTAGATTTTCTTTAATAATCACCAGTGTTATGTAGTTTTCAATATAGAAGGGTTTTGTGTGTGTGTTTGCTTTAGATAAACTTATTTCTGTATTTTATAGTTTTCAATGCTATCCTAAATGGAATTTTCTCTCACTTCTAGTATGTAAAAGTATTACTGACTTTTTAAAACCTTTGATTGATTTTTTTACATTCCCCTTGTACCCTGTGATCTCAGTGACATGACATGTCAGGCCGGGGAGCTATTCTGTGGGGCCTAGGGTCTTTGGGAATGCATGTTTTCTGTGGGTGTTGATTTTCCCTGGGTTGAGATGGTTGGACTCCCGTCAGTACGTGGCTCTGCTCCTGACCTCGGGTTACACTGGCTTGTTCTGTAGCCCTGAGGACCACCTCGTGTCCCCTGCCCTTCCCATTCCTCCTGGGTGCCCAGCCTCCCCCGTCACTTTCTGTCCCTTTGCTCTGCTTTGCTCACTCCCACCACTGACACCTGCAGCATGTCTCCAGATCGTCAGGGCTGTGGTCCTCGTGCCCCTGGGTGGGGGTGCCAGAGGATGGTGGCCCTTGAGAGTTTGCTGGTTCCACCTGACTCCCCTTGGCTGTGCATGCCCACTGCTGCTCCTGCTATCCTCGMGCTGGTCTTAGTCACTTGTTGGAGTTCACCAGTCCCATAGGCGAGCCGTGTCCCCATAGTTTTGGTTTCTTTCCCTTGGTGTCTGGTGAAGTCCGCAGCTGTCACTGTGGTAGTGGCCTTTGGTTCCTCTTTGCTCATCTGTGGTGTTTCGCTTAACCTGTAACCTTAGGAGCAGTGTGAGGGAGGAGGTGGGGTAGTTCTGCTGCTCTCTGCTGGCCTGAGGGCTCGAGCTCCTGCCACCTGCTGCAGATGCTATTTCCAACCCGCTCTGAGATGCAGCTCTCTTGCTGCCTGTTCTGTTTAAAACAGTGCTTGACCATTCTTATGCATTGAGTCTTTTTAAAAAAGTAACATTGAGAATGAGCTTCCGGGTCTGCCTAACATCCTGTTACTTAGGCTGCATCACATCATGGTTAATCAGAAGAACACAGGAGGCCCTGCCCACACGGCTCACCCCCCACACTGTCTGAGCCTCCAGGTGGGAGTGCCCTGAGGCCGCAGTCTCCTGCCCCTGCACTGGGCTCATCCTGGAGTCTTCTGATGCTGGCCCGGGGCTTCTAGCAGGGCTTCCTCTGAGGAGCTCCTTCTGCTGGTGGCATTATTGACCCTTGACCATGGTTGGTGAAGTTCACCGGCTCTGTTCCTGGCACTCCCTGCAGGGGCAGGCTTCTCCCCGTTGGTCCCTCCTCAGTTGGGGCTGTGGGAGTCGCCACCTCCCTGTCACTGAGCGTTGGGCACTCCTGCAGCTGACGTGTGGGCTTTGTGTCTGTCTGCAGGCACAGCAGGCCTCTGCCGAGCTGTCCTGGTTCTGGGGTCTGCAGCCCCAAGGGACCTTGCCCTGGAGCAGCCCTGCCTGCTCGCTGCCCTCCTTCCACCCAGGGCCAGTCCAGCTCTCCGGGGTGTGTTGGCTCCCACAAAGAGAGACTGGTTTTGGTGAAGGGCTGAGTGACAGGGCCTTGTCTGCTGCAGCACCTGGGAAGGAGGTTTTTGTCCAGGATCTGCACCCTTCCCACCAGCCACTTGCAGGCAGGCGTCGAGTTGGAACGCATCTTCATGGTGGTTGTGAAGGTGAACATCAGACCCTAAGGCTGTGCCTTCTGTCTCCGCCCTCTGCAGTCCATGTACAGGGTGGAGCCTACACCTCCCCTTTGTGTCTCTGGCCCTCTGCCCCCTTGGGCCTTTCCTCTGGGCCCTCCCCACTCGCTGTTGTGTTGCACAGCTTATACTGTTTACCCCCCTCCCCACATGGGGCTCTTTCTCCCTCCTGAGGGCTCAGTGGGGCGCCATGCAAGCCCTAGTTGCCTGGAGCGCAGCCTGTAGGTGCTAAGCCCAGGGCATGTTTGTACCTCTGTGCCCACTCTCCAACCCTGTGCCCAAGCCCTGCACCAGTGTCTCTGTGCAGAGGAAGCAGTCCTCGCTGCCACAGCTCCAGGCTCAGAATCAGCCCTGTAATTAAAAAGTGTGCCTCTGTGCTTAAGGGGAAAAAATAACTCAGAGCCGGCCTTCCCCCAGTCCTCAGGAGTGGGGTGCTGGGGATGGCAGGAGGTGGGGGTACTGTCTGCCTGCACAGAGGAGGCAGAGCCGGGATCAGCGCGCTGGTGGGCCTGCGTCTGGGCCCCTCTGGGTATGTCACCATGGGCAGCCACCATTGGCTCTGGGCTGTGTCTTGTACTTTGGCATCTACTCTGTACCTAACTCCTGTCTCCTCTGCCTCAGAAATCGAAGCCATAAAGCTGGCAGAGCAGAAGCTCAAGGAGGAGCGGAGACGCAGGGCCACGGCTGTGGTGGGGGACCTGCACCCCCTAAGGGACGCCCTGCCCGAGCTTCAGGAGCTGGAGGCAGGCAGGCGGCAGCAAACCAGAGGGTGAGTGTCCAGCACACTTCCAGAGCTGTGGCCAGAGGATATGTGTCCCAAGGGGAGAGAAGGGGGCCAGGGGCCATGAACCAGTGCTTGACCCGGGACCCTCACACTGTGCAGAAGCCTTGAGCTAGTGTGGCTCTGCAGGCCGAGTTCCAGGTCCACCCCCGGCAGGTGACCTGGCCAGCTTTGCAGACAGCTCTTTTCTCATGCTGCTGTCACTCCTGGCTCAGTGGCAGCTGGTCCCACTGTTGGCCTCAGCCTTCTCTCAGTTGCCCCTGCATGTGTGCCTGAGTCTGCTCAGGGCCTCCACAGGTGCCATGCATCTCCCTGCTCTTCCCGCTGCCCTCACAGCGTCCATTTCCCAGTCGACCTTCGCCAGCCACCTGACGGCACTCTCCCTCCCTGGTTTAGTCCCTGTGATCAAAATACTTGACAAGAATAACAGGAAGAAAGGTTCAGTTTGATTTTAGGGGTCTCAGTTGGTAGACGGCTGACTCCTTTCCTCTGGGCCTGAGGAGAGGCAGGACAGGGTGATGGAAGGGCTTGGTGGAGGAGCGCTGCTCTGTTCAGGCAGCCAGCGAGCAGAGGTGGAAGTGGGGAGCGCAGGGAGAAGGCGCCCTTCCAGGGCAGCCCCCTGCCTGCAGTGAGCACCAGGCCGCCACGCAGACTAGGGCCCAGCTGCCTCACCTCCTGGCACTACTGCATAGACGTTCAACCACGGGGCTCCTCCACTTCCTGCAGAGGGCAACCCCGGAGGACAGGCACTCCTCGTTACTGGGCCAGGGGTGCCCGGCAGGAGTGTGGAACCCACCTGCAAGCTCAGTGCACAGAACCACATCGGGCAGTAAAGAGAAGACAGGCTCAGGGCAGGTCTGGCCTGGGCACTGGTTGACAGGGGCTTGAGGGGACAGATGGGAAGCGTCAGGGGCATTTTGTTCTGTCACAGTTGCTGGACTTTCATCATTTATTTCTGTCATTTCTAATTTTGCTTCTTTAAAAATAATTCTTTCTCCTACTGAATTTCTATCTGAGGAGAAACGGGCTGTGTGCAGTTAGATGAGGGATTGCCCTTCCACAGGGCTGGTAGTGACATGCCACGGGGCCAGATGGTCACAGGCCGGCTTCCYGACACAGACGCTCCCAGAACATTCGGTCCAGACGAGGAGCTGCCACCGGGTCGAGACTGGATGTTGGACAGTGCCAGCAGTACAGATTCCATTCCTGGTTCTGGAGCAAACAATGTGACCCTGGCCAAGGGTCCCTTCCCTCTTTTCAGTTTTCTCATCTGAAAAATGTGCTTGGCTCCCAGCAGGGAGAAGGCTGTGTAAACAGGCCGCCTGCCCAGGGAGGAGGGGTGTGTGGCGCTCCAAGTGGGCTGGGCTGCTCTGGGCTGCTGCTTGTGGGAGGAGCAATCCCACCTGCTCAGCCTCCTCTTCATTGGGGTCCCTGCCCTCCTCCTGGGCACCCCAGGTGTCAGGGCATCTTGGCTGTGGGCAGCCATTAGAGGACTGTCCACTTGAAAGCAGCTTCAGGCCTGTGGCAGAGCTCAGCCTGTGGACCTCGCCCCCAGCTGCCTGTCAGCGGCCCCCTCTGGGATGCTGCCATCCTCGGGACAGAGGGACTGCGGTGTGCCAGAGTATGGTAAACTTCAAATGATACTTCCTGAAGTCCTCCCCTCTACCCAGGACCCCATGGCAGCATATGACACTTGGCCTTCTTGTCTCGAAGCCTCCTCCTGGCTGTGAGGCTCTCGCTGTCCTTGGCTTCGACCTTGATAGTTCTGAGGGGCCAAGTCAGGCACATCTTAGGTGTCCTTAGATGGAATGCTTCTCACGTGTCCGTGCGTGGGTTGGGGGTGGAGTTGTCAGGAGGAAGCCCCAGAGGTGACATGCTGCATTTATGACATCCTACCAGGTGCACATACCAACCCAGCTGGATACCATGATGCTTGTCACCTGGGCCACCTGGGGAGGGGTGCTCAGCAGGTCTCTGCAGTGACTCTCCCTTTCCTTGGTGCTCTCTGGAAGCAGGTGGGGAGCGATGCTCCTGTTCCCCGAGGACATGGGATTCTGTACAAGTGACATGGGATTCTGCCACAGTGGGGACTTTGTCCGTTCCCCACTTACTTGCTGACCAGGTGCTTGCTTAATGGCGGTGTGGACTCACAGGTGTATTTTGTACTTGGGCTCTAGCCCAGGGCTGCTCCTCTGTTGCTGAGGCTGTCCCAGCCTCCTCATAGTCCCTGGGTCCCTCTGACCTGTCTGTCAGGGTGGGGTCACTGGGTGCTTCTGAGTGCTTCTCTTTCAGGCATCAGCAGGTGCTTGGGTTCATGTGTTTCCTGCTCAGGCCCGGCACCCGCTGCTTCTCCAAGGAGCCCTGGTTCTTTGCCTTAGAGGGGTGATGCCAAGGTTTGGCACTGGGGGCGCTGTTCACTCCTGGGGAGTGAGCCTGCACAGAGACGCCCACGTGTGTGCCGGCCTGTGCCGTTCACATGGGGTTCCCCAGACGCCTCACTTCTGCCACCAGTTGCCAGTGTTGGCTCAGGACTGCTCACTCTCCGGCTTAGTGATCTCTGGAAGGTCTTGCTGGACTCCTTGGTCACAGTTGTATAGCAGAGGCGTACAGGCTAAAGCCAGCTGAGTTGTCAAGACACAAGGACACAGTACAGGGAGGCCTGGGTGGGCTTCCAACCATACCCTCCCCATGGAGTCTGGAGAGCTGGTGGGGGAGGCCCAGTCCACTCTGAGCCTCGCAGGCAGCAGCGGAGCCAGCTGCTCCACTGGGAGAGAAGCTCCCCTGCATGGTGGCCCCAGGGCACTTGGCCTCCACTGCCCCTTGCCCCACCTGCCTCTGCCTCATTGGATGGTTCCTGGGGCCTCTGGGGATGAGAGGCGGGGCCTAGGACTCAAGGTGCCTCCTGGTATTCTGGGTCAGGAGACCGCCAGGGCTAGAGTCATAGAAAGCTGGAGCTCAGGCACTATTTTGAGTAGACACTGAATGTCTTTCATTCATATTTTAAAAGAAACATGAATAAGAAATTAGGTCTCCTGTTCTGGAGGCTAAATTTAGGTGCTGGCCTGGGGCTTGGTGGTTTTCTGTCCTTTCTCTGGGCCACCTCCCTCTGTGGGTGTCTGGCTCTGCTGGCAGCTCCCTGGGGAGAAACCCAGTGGATGTCCCATCATAGGCTTCCCTCCCGCTGACCACAGGGCGGGTGGGCAGAGCTGCCTGATACTGTCCCCAGGAGTTGTGGGAGCTCTGCTAGGCACTCCCACCCGCCCTCAGTCTGGCCCCCTGAGGTGGTCTGAAGCTTCCCAGGAAGTGGCATGTCACAGTGGCCTGGTCTGTGCCCTAGCCTCGTGGTGGGCTGCGTCTCCCCTTCCTGGAGCATCCCTCAGCTCCTGCAGGGGGGTCACAGCAGAGTGGCAGGTGGAACACTCCTCAGTCACAGAGCATGGCCCTCTAGAGAGGTCAGAGCATGGCAGATGTTGGGGACTTGCCTGGTGTGGCAGCAGTAGTGTGGACTTCCCATGCAGGCCCTCTGCCCTGGCAGGCAGTCTCACGTGTTCCCTGGGCCCAGGGTCTTTACTGGCTGTCCATCTGGATGGCGTGCTTTTGGCTCAGGCCTGGTGGGGGGGGGATTCAGTGTGAAAGTCGGGAGCTATGCACCCTTGGGTGGTCGTCTCTTCCATGTCACATGGGAGCTTTGAGTGGTGGACAAGTCCCAGAAATGTGGGTGTCAGCTCTGGACATGGTGGTGAGGCTAGGCCTGCATGAGCTGAGCAGAGCAGATTCTGGGGACTCCACCGTCTGGTCCGAGAAACTGGGAGCCATGTATACTCAGGGCAGGTGTGGGGTGAAGTGGTCCTGGGCTGACTTTGTGGCCTCTCTTTGTCCACAGCAGGGTGAGCAGCAAACCCAGGCCAGCCGAGCTCAGCCGGATGAGTGCAGCCCAGAGACGGCAGCTGCTGTGAGTACCGGCTTCGCCCCTGGAGGCTCTGCTCTTGCTTAATGCTGACTCTGGGAGGCTGCCTTCCTTCTTCCTGAAGAGAGAAGCTGCAGTGGGCCCTGGAGGCAGGCCCTGAATGCAGCAGCCAGCAGCCAAGGGCAGCGTTCCAGGGGACTGCCACACCCTCCACGCTGTGTCCCTTCCTTCCCCTGCTGGGGCGTGTGCCCTGGCTGCAGTTAGCCCCCTGTTAGCGAGGCCGGGAACCCATCAGGAGGGCCAGCACCCCATTGTCTGCAGAAGTTGGTGCCCAGGTGTTGTCCTGAGTGAAACAGGGTCCGTCCTGTTTCACACCATGGTGAGGTCTCTGCTCCCTTCAGAAGCAGTTGTATTCTTGGTCTCGGGTGACTCTGCCGAGGCATTTCTTCATGCGGAATGCTCTTCAGTGTGCTGAGGCCCCCTGTGCCTCCTGTGCATGTTAGGACCTCTGGTTGCTCCTGGGCGGAGCTTGTGTTGAACCGGGGCCTCCTGTGTCTGGCTCTTCTCTAGAACCATTGTGGATCGGCTTGGCCTCCCTGTCTCCCACATCTTCCCCTAACCCGTTTCACTCTGGATACTTTCTGACCCTGAGTTTGTGTCTTCTTATAGATTTTGTGCTGATTTGAACCAACTTCTTCATCAGCGGCTTTGAAGGCAGTTTGTGTAGGCAGAAACCCTCTCTGTGGCCTGCTGCTCCCTGTCCGTCTCCCTGCCCCAACCTCTCCCAGGGCCCAGCCTGCCCAGGCAGCTGCCTCTGCAGGGTAGCTAGGTAGGGCTGTTGCTTCCTAGGACTTACCCAGCTCCAGCCTTGTGTGTATGGTGCCCAGTAGTCTCCCTTGTCTCTGTTGACTGCACTGCCTTTGGAGGCTACTCAGGGTTGTGACCCCCTGGCCTCATTAGGTTGAGTTTGGTTTCCTTTTGTTTGTGTGCAGTATCTGAGGAGAGAAAGAGGAAGCAAGTTGTTCACTACCTGGATTTGAAGCCAGAATTCTAGATTCCTCCTTGTGTCCATAGTACCTTACCAGTATACATGGGGCGCTCAGATCACCCAGAGAATTGGTTGTCTTGACCCCAAGACCTGAGGGAAGTATGTGCTTCGTCCCCTGCATGCTCAGGCAGAGCTGTTCCTGAGGGGCACTGGCTGGGCACATGTCTCAGTGCTCCTAGGGGCAGGTGCCACTGACCAAGGAAGGGGCTGTCCTCAGGTGGATGGGCACCTCCAGTGGTGCAGTGCGCCCCTGGGGGTCAACCCAGCTGCCAGGAACCAGGAGCCCTGTGCTGCGTCCAGGCAGCCTCCACCCACACATGTGCTGCCGAGCACCTTCACGGAGTCTTGGCTCCCTTGCCAGCCCTTGGCCTTGGCTGAGCACCAGACTTCTGAACCCAGTTCAGGACTTTACCACCGGCCAGCAAGCTCACTGCCAGGGTGGCCCAGGTGCTGGCCTAGGGCCCATCACTGAGTCCTAGCTATGACTGACCAGCACCCCAGTGGTCTTACCTGGACCGAGGTGGCAGCCTCCTGCTGCAGGGTGAGACATCAGCTAACAATTGGCAACACCCTGGGCCTCCAGGGCAAGGCCAGAGGATGGGCTTGGCCCTCTCTGCACTCACTCAGGCTGTCCCTGTGAGCCCTGCGCAGCCTGTCCTGGAGCCTCCAGCTTCGGTTTCACGTGTGGGATTTGCACTTAGGTTCCTTCTGTCACCCCCTGGTCACCTGGCTGTGTGCAGGGTACAGAGCTCTCCAGTGGGGTGGCACGGCCATGCTGGGGTAGGGAGAAAAAGGGTGAGAGGCCTGGCCCTGTGGTCTTGTGCATCTCCAAGCAGAACAGGCTGGCTGTAGGGGTCAGGGTGGCCTGGGACTGTGCCAACCTGTCACCATGGCACCCAGGTCCTTGGTGTTCTCCCCGCCTGCTTGTGGCTCTCGTGTGCATCTATTTTGGGCTTGCCAGGGAGAAAGCCACCTCTTATGTAAGGCAGCATGTCTGGGGTGTGCGTGCTGCTGCCACTCCCCATTCTCACTGCTACCTTAGCAGCAGTCCGTCAGGCCCCTCCTGGGCACGCTGGGCGACCCCCACTATAAATTCCACAGGTGGGTCTAGGGCTGTGAGGAGACTCCAGGGCTGTCACTCCCCATCTGTCGGGTTTCCCTGGGAACTGAGCACTGTGCTCCACGTATCCACTCCAGTGTCTGGGATGTGGGGAGAGGTCGGTCCCGGGGTTTGAGAGCTTGCCCTTGGCTCTCTTCTCTGCGGGGCCCAAGGGGACTCCTGCCCTGCTACCTGCTGACCTCTGGTCTCCATTCTTTCAGTGAGGAAGAAAGGACCCGGTTTCAAGAGCTGCTGACCAGCCCTGCCTACAGAGCCAGCCCCCTGTTGGCCATAGGGCAGCAGCTGGCTCACCAGATGCAGCTGGAAGGTGGCAGCCAGCTCTGACAAGGGCAGTGGTGTGCTGTGAGCTCTGAGGGACGCACATATGGACAGAGGTACCCAGAGAGGGCTATCTGCCTCTGACTGTCCCCTGAGCCTAGATGGACATCCTCTCCCAGGTCTTTGAAAACAGTCTTTGAAACAAACGGAGGACTTCATGGATTCCTTCCTATGCGTCACCAGGCCCTTCCCATGGGTCCACTTCCACTTTGGAATCTCCTGCATTTCCTACAGCTGGGCTGACCCTAGGACAGCTGCCCCACCTCCCCTCAGGACAAGCCACACCTCACCTCCAGGCTGGGCTCCACGCTCCTATGGTAGACACCAGTGGGTTTGCCAGGCCTGCACTCAGACCACTTGGACGTCACCAAGAGGCACCACCGATGCCCTGCTGCAGCCACAGCACATCTGGAAAAGGAATCTCACTGCAGGTGACTCTGATCACAGGGAAGGCCCAAGGACAGCGCCTGCTTGGTGAGCTCCTCCACAGACGCAGCCCACAGGTCCCCGGTGCTGTGCAACCCCGTGGGCTCTCCCTCAGCAGCCGCCCTCCCTCCTACGTGGGCCTCATCGTCTGTGGGCTGCAAGCTGTGCTCTGTGAACTTAGGCACAGATGGCCTTGCACAGAGGCTCCCCGTGACAAGAACAGATGGGCACTGTGGACAGGCCTGTGAGGGTGCACACAGCTCAGTGGGGCTCGGTGGCTGGGTTGCAGGTGGCCATGTCTTCCTCGTGATAGTTGGTACAGCCCGAGGTGTCTTCCTGGGGAAGGTGTATTCATGATGTGCTATTTTAAGAGAGAGCTCCTGGCTTCCTGGTCTTCAATGCTTTTGTCTAACCTGGCTGTCCTGGCCCGTGGCCACCTCTGGTGATGCACCTATCAGGGCTGGGGGCCCTGTCTTCTGCCTGGAAACCAGGGCTACCTTGGGAGAGCAGACCACAGGCTGTGAAGCCAGCCTCCAGTTTGCTGGGAACAAGGATAGGAGCCAGGGTCCTGGGACATGGGACAGACTTAACAGAAGAGGAGCTAAACGGGCACCCCCTTGCCTGCGTGGGCCTCTCGGTCGCCCAACAGAGTGGGGTGTTGCCTCTCTCTTCACAGGAGCAGAGCCCCTGTCACCCAGTGTTGTGCCGCTGGGGCACCTCGTGGAGGCAGGGTCTCTGGGCAGGGTAGGTCAGGCTGTTCTTCCCCAAGTAGCCCGCCACTTCCCCAGCCACCCGTGAGGAGGGCGCTGGGATCTGAGCGTGCTGCAGCAGCTGGTCTGGGTCACCTCTGTCTTCATAAAATGAATATGAAGGTTTTTAGTGAGGTTAAGGGAAGAAGCCTCTGTTCAGTTGTTTTCGTGAATAGACCCTGGAGCCCTGAGTTCCGATTTAAAGGGTAAATAGCAGATAAAAGCCCTCTGAGGCCCAGCAAGGCCATGAGGCCTCCCTAACAGGCAGAGGCTGCAGACCCTGCTTGGGACGCCTCATCAGGCACAGCACTGGCCCACACACAGTGGGGAGGCGCAGGCATGTGTCTCCTAGAGAGGGGGTGCCTGTAGGGCGGGCAGGGTGCTGCCGGAGTGGGACCTTAGTCTTCAGAGGCTTGTGCTGTGGGAGGAGGTCAGGTCTGGGGTCAAGCCCTTGAAGGAGTGTCAGGACCCCAGCCCTCCTCTCCTCTGTCACCTTCCTGGCCACTGCGAGGTGAGCAGGCCCAGAGCACAGCCAGGCGGCCATGCGTGAAACGATGGGACAGAAGGAGCCCCTCCTTCCAAGTTCCTTCTTCCAGGGTTCTGTCAGCAAGGTACAGCTGACGATGCCTCCCTGGAGGAAGGGGCCCACACAGTGGGGTCTCTAGGCGGGCCCACACAGTGGGGTCTCTAGGCAGGCCCAGGCCATCGCCCAGCACCCCTCTGTCCTGAGCTGGGCTCACCTGCCCATGGAAGGGAACTTGTGGAGGTCTGGGGAAGGGAGGTGAGGGGACCAGGACCCAGCACCCTGGACACACCATCCTCAGGAAGCAGCCTCTGACCACTGCAGGCCCTTCTCCCTGCTCTGGCAGCCATGTCCCAGTCACCAGCTGCCTGACGAGCAGCATGGCAGACTTCAGGCAGCCTGGGGCTCTGCCTCCCCACCCCCATCTCGGGGGGGCTCCCTTGCTGAAAAGCGCCCTGGGACTGCCATGGCAGATGACGACACCTTGGCCCAGGATAGGGTCCCGCTCCAGTACACCCGTGTGTTGTGTGGCAGATGCTGAGGTCAGAACTGCGTTCAGTGCCCACTGGCAGCCATGGCAGGTGCAGGACACCCAGGTCACTGAGGTGCACGTTTCCCTGTGGCTGGACAGGGCCTGGGGTCCTCAGGCTGCCCTCTCTGCATGGCCATCAGGGGACAGCGCCTCTGCTTCTGGCTGCTGGTGTTGCTGACAGCCGGGTGTCCCGTGGCTCCAGCCATATCCTGTGTCTGTCTGGTCTTAGCACACCACTCAGCCTCACTCCTCGTGATCTCATCTTAACCAGTCATGTCTGCAGTAACTCCCATTTCCAAATTTGGTCACATTCTGAGGTCTTTGGACATGAAATTTGAAGATGTCCTTGGGTTGGGGGTGTCTTGGGTCCCAGAACTTTTTTTTTGTACTGAGGATGGATGGAACCCAGGGGCGTTTTACACTGAGCCGCACCCCAGCCCTTCCTATTTTTTGAGATGACGTCTCACTAAGTGGCTGAGGCTGGTCTGGAACTTTTAATCCTCTTGCCTCAGCCTCTGAGATTACAGGCGAGCACCACCAGTCCCGTGGGCCCTGCAGTTCTAGAAGCCCCCATCCCTGGCTGGTGACACATGGCTTGGTGGGGCAGGGAAGAAAGGTGTTGGTGACGCAGGCGAGGACCTACATGGAGCAGAGCTGGGCTTGGGGTTGTGGGGAGGGGCCCTGCCAGAGGGGCTGGGCTGGGAGGCAGGACTCTCTCTTTGAGGTTGAGCACCTCCCCGCCCTTTCCCAGCACCCTGCACACCTGCACGCCTGTGCCTGAAGGTTCCCTGCTGGCTGTGTCCCTTCATTCCTGAGGGCACAGACCCGCAGTGTAGGGTACCTAGAAGGGGTGCTGCTGGGTGAGTGAGTGGAGGGCTGGGTGGCCATGCCCTGCACCTGGCTCCCACGTCCCCAGCAGCCCTCCCCCATGGTCTCCATCCACCTAGAGCCTGGCCTCCTTCCCTGCTGTCAGGGCCATGAGCCAACTAGGGCACCCAGGAGGAGCAGGTGGGTTATCCCAGCAGGGGTCTTGGAGGAGGTGGAGGGGGGCCAGGTGGCACTGCTGCAGCTTGTACCTTGCACTGGGGGTGGCCTGGAAGCAGCAGGGCCTGTGCCCCAGCCCTGAGGGGTTGGCCTGCCTGGCTTCACACTTCCACACTGAAGTTTGTAGAGGCATGACCACCCTGTCCACACAGGCTTTGTTCAGAAGAGGCTGTCTCTGGCTCGTCCACCCCAGCCTGAGCCACAGCATGGCTTTTGAGTGAAGGCTAACGAGACATCACCAGACTTGTCCTGGGCAGGTGGGCAATGGCCCGCAGCACAGCTGGAGGTGGGCAAGACACCCACACTGACGCGGCTCCCAAGCTGGGATCAGGCCTGGGTGGATATGCCCGTGAGGCTCCTGTGCTGTTCGGGAGCCAAGTGCTGATACACAGCAGGCATGTTGCTTCTGGAATGTTCCTTGTGCAGTGATAACATCATCCGAAACTTTGGGAGGTGCTGGCTGCCACCCAGGTCCTGCCTGCATGTGACTCCCTGGGATACCAGGCCTCCAGCCTCCAGCGTGTTCTCCACTGCAGCCTGTGACCTGGCTTGGGTTTCTGAGGATGCAAGGAGCTGCAGGCTGGCAGATGGCAGGAGGTGGCCTTGCTACCTTCCTCTGAAGCCCTGCTCCTGGGGCATCTGGCCTTGGTTCCTCAACAGACCTTGGCCCTATTGTAAAGTCAACGAGTCCCAGTTGGGCTGTATTTTTCTTCTAAAGGTGTGAAAATGTGAGTTAAAACAGTAATTTCAGGCCCACTCCTGGAGCTGGATTGTGTTGAGTCTTCCTTAAGACTGAAATTTAAATGTCAGAATTTTGTAGGATATCACTCGGAGAAAAATGAGCAGTCACTTGTGTTTCCGAATCCAGACGTTTCAGGAGCAGATGCAGAGGCTTTGGGGTCCCTGCAAGGTCTTTTGGGGCCTGGGGCCTCATCTCTCTTGTCCACATCACCAGAAACAGGCTCTGGAGCCAGGGAGGGGCATCCCTGGCTGGGAAGCCCGGGGTGGGGCTTGTCCTCCTTGGTGGGGAGACAGGCCCGAGGGGAGGCTTCCGCCAGGCCCACTAGACCTGGGGAACCAGGTGCTAGGTGTGGGGCTGCTCCCTGCCCGTGAGCCTACCCCCAGGCCTTCCGCCCTTGACCCAGGGCAAGTGAGGTACACCCATACCACGTCCGCACCAGACACTGCACACACATGCAGACGCACATGTCTATGCCATGCACACACACACACACAGGCATCCCGGGCACCTTGGTTTCTCATCTGGAGAGAGATGGTTTCATGGAGGGATCCTGATTCCCCTGGTATCCCCCAGTCACCTCAGTAGGTGACAGGCAGGACCCATGTCAGGACTGCCGGGGCACGTCCCCCACTGCACCTCCTGGAGTGAGCCACAAGCCTTCTTGTCGTTTGGTGGCTGGGTTTTCTGGAGAGGCGGTGGTCACTTCCACCCTGGCTCTCCCCTCCACTGGGGTCGGGAGCCGGTTCTCATTACCTGATGAGGGCAGGCCTCTGCTCAGCTCTGCAGGAAGGATCTCTACAGCTTTTCTTCTCACCTCCTGGGACCCTGGCGTCTCTGGCATGTGGCCCAGGATCTGACTGGAGCAGCCTGGCCTGCCCAGTTGTGGCCCAGCTCCTGCCCAAGCCTGTCCCTTGGCAGGGCCATGTCTAGCTCCACCCCATTCATTCGGCCATCTGTTCTGGTGTGATCTTTGGGCAGCCCCTGCCACATGCTGCAGGAGAGAGGAGACCCATCCCACGTGAAGCTCATCTGTGGATGTGGCAGTGCAAGACTTCGTGATGCCATCAGCAGCCCAGGCGCCACTGTCTCGTACTTGTCCTCATTCTAGAGTGTGGTGGAGCAAGCCCCAACCATCACATGCACATTCCAGGCAGGAGGAAGAAGGAACGAGAACAAATGGCAAAAGGAACTAGAAAGGGTTACTTTTACTAGGAAGGTTACTTCTTTTCTCTTGTAAAAGCTTTTCTCCAGGCCCACCCAGCAATGTCCACTTCCACCTCTAGCCAGGGCTGGTGTGATGGTTTGGTCCCTGGTGCAGCAGTGTCCAGTGGCGGGGYCTTTGGGATGGTGGTTGGGTCATGGGGACTCACCTCATCAGTGGATCCGTCCAGCAGCCAGGAGCCGAGTGGCTTCCTCCACCACACAGTCCAGCTGCTATGAAGCTCTGCCTCAGCTCCAGCCCAGTGCGATGCAGCCGCTGGCCATGGGCTGAGCCTTAAGCCCTGATCCAGATGACCTTTCCCCTCTGAATTGTGCAAGTTTGGGGGTTCCAGTCAGCAGCGAAAATGCCATCCAGTGCACCCAACTGGCGTCCCCTCCCCAGGTGGGAGGGAGGTGGGGCAGCAAGGAGAGCTAAGCAAGGGGAAGAAAGCTCCTTCCCAGGAGCGCCCTGTTCCTGACCATGTGACCCCACCTTGGTCAGAGACTTGGCCAGGGCAGCGGGCCTGCCGTGTCCAGTGCACCCTGCTGCCCTTTGAGGTTTGTAGTCAGTGGGGCGGGGGGGGGGGGGTTGGTGATGCTGCCGTGGGGCTGTGCACGGGGGCCGGGGCACTAGTGGGTCTGTCCTGCGGCCAGACAAGGCATGCAGGCCAGGAAGCCCTGAGCAGAGGACCCCACTGTGCCCCTGCTTTCCTGCACCCGCAGCTCCACCTGAAGACTGGGCTGAGGGGATGTGAGACGCCCAGAGTTCTTCAGCAGTGGGTGGTCGAGGCCATCTGTTCAGGCAGTTCTGGGTGGGTGGGGAGTTGGGGGCCTGGGTGCAGCCCTGAYTGGTCAGCCAGCCCTGCTTCCAACACCTTTCCTGGAGGCCACGAGGTCCCAGGAGGGGTTGGCCTGACAGGACCCCCCAAGTTCCCACCCAGTGACCACAAACCAAGGTCTGGAACTTCTCAGCAGGAACTGTCCACATGGATGTCCATGGGCTGCCCTCAACTGCAGGCCATGGTCTCTGCTCTAAGTTCCCCTGAKGAGGTGGCAGGTCCTGCAAGTGCTTTTCACCACCAGTGGGTACACACAGTGGCAGGGGGCTGGCAGCAGGTGTCCAGCAGGAGCAGTGACCTGGCCCTGGGGATAGTGGGAGGAAGGCCACCTCCTTGCAACTGTCTCTTCTTGGCTCAGAATTAGGCCCAAAGTCCCAAGGCAGGATGCTCCTGTGACAAGAAAGCTGTTGCCCGGGTGCTGCTCTGCACAGGACCCAGCACTGTGGGCTGCAGGTGAGCAGGCCCAGCTTGGGCAGGAGACTCCCATCTTCCAGAAGGGAGCCAAGTGGAGAGGCGTCCTGGCTGTGACTGGCGCTGAGGCTGACCCTGTGGAGCCTGGGCCATTGGGTCTATGCCCTGGGAGGGCACCTGTCCCCTGCAGTAGAGATGTGGCATGAGATGGTGTCAGAAGAACTCAGTCACTTGCTTCCAAAATCACTCCCTCAGGAGGTGCTCCTACCGCAGCTAGGGACAGTCGATGGCCCGTTGAGCAGCCTGGCAAGGACCAGTGTCAAAACGTGCAGGACATCCCTGACTGGCACAGAAGCCCTGGTGGGGCCTGAGCTCGGGAGCCCCCCTGCCCTTGGCCTGTTGCTGGTTCCCTGGACCTCATGACCAGCTCCAGGCTCTGTGCTCCCAAGTTCTCTAGTGAAGGGCAGCTTTTGTCCCTGACCTCTCTCTCGGGTCAGCTGTGCTCCCCACCTGTGCCTGGGGCTCCGGCCCCTCCTCTCAGCACTAGACCAACCTGGAGTGCCACACCCTCAGTGGGCACAGGCGAGGTCCAGAGGTCCAGCCGTTGATCTGTCCTGGATGGGGTGGGAGCCTTGGCTGGAAGCCAGGCTCTGGGGAGAGGCTGCCCCCGGGCCATGAGCCTGAGGGCCTGGGCTCAGAGGCCCTGGGCTCCAGCTGTGATGTGGCTGCATGCTGGCGCTGACACACAGCCAGGGGCCCCTCACCCTCTGTCCTCCCAGGGGCCCCTCACCCTCTGTCCTCCGGAGGTTTAGGAGATAAGGTTGGGCGGCCATACGGAGGTCACTGTGAGGGCCCCTGGTTGCTGGTCAGTGTAGACCACTTTGCCGCCTGTGTGGGGACAGGATCGGTCTCCAGGGTCTATCTGTCCACCTGTACTCAGAGGGTGGACAGCCTCAGATGGTGCCCGGCCATGTTCCTGCTCGCCAGGGCTCAGCAAGGAGTCAAGGGCCTCTGCCAGATGGGCGGGTGCTGAGTACAGAGGCACCCAGTCCTGCCAGATGGCAGGGCTGGGCAGTGACTGCTGACACAGCCCACCACTCACCTTGCCTGGGGGCAGGGTCCAGTATGAGACCCCTCAGGTGGTGTGAGGTCAGGAGCAGGCAAGGCTGAGAGCAGCTCGGAGCTTCGCCTCTGCGAGGTCTGGGACTCTGAAGCTCTCGCCAGCTGAGACCTGAAGACCTGTGGCCTTGGCTGCCTTCCAGAAGAGGCCTTGAGGTGCTCAGCCATGCCCCAGGAGTGGAGCAGGGATGGCCCTCCAGGACAGGTAAAGGGCTGGCCTGCTCAGGCGGTTCTGGGTGGATTGGGGGCCTGGGTGCAGCCCACTGGCCAGCCTACCCCTTCAGGTGGCCTGCAGCCTTCCAGAAGGCCCCATCCACCCCGTGGCTTGGCTCAGGGCCTCTGCCCACCCCCAGCCTCCAGTACCTTGCCCTGAGCACGTGGCTCATCAGCAGCAGTCTCACTGGGCTCCCTCCAGGTCCTGGGAACTCCTGTCTCCTTTGCCACCTCTGGGCCCCTACAGAGACCATTGCCCTGCCCCACTGCAGACCTGTCCTCTCCCTCCTGGCTGCATGGATCACTGTGCCTCCTCTCAAGAGCCTCCTGAGATCCTGGAGGCAGAGATGCCTTTCAGGGCTGCCGGCCGACCTGCCCACTCTTCAGCGCCCCCTCCTGGGACCCCGCACATCTGGGCCTGGATGGGGTCTCTGCAGAGCTGAAGGTTGACTTGTAGCAACTTGGCCCTTGACGCAGGCTGGGGTTAAACCCAGGGTGGAGTATGTAGAAGGCCTGGGCAGCAGGCAGGCAGTCTGGATGACTCGCCTGTCCTGGTCAGGATGTCTGGGGAGGGGCTTGCCTCCTCAGCACCCACAGGTAGGTCACCTCGCCCATCTCTGACTTGCCACTTATTACTGTCAGTGTCACTACTATGTGACAAGATTTGCCGTGTCCAGAGCCTTGGCCATGGGAAAACAGCCAGCCAGGGTGGGCACCTGGAGCACAGCTCGCAGAGATGGTGGACTATCCGCAGGGGCTCTCCGCCCTGGGGCCCTGCTCCCCACAGGCTGTCCGCACCGGGATGGGCAGCCTTTCCCCCGTACTCCCCTCTTTCCCTTGGCTGGGTCCCACCCCACTGCGTCAGGCCTTGATCTTGGAGAAGTCACTCAGGATTTTCCAGAGTCTTTGGAGAAACACCTGCCAAAAAGCACAGCCACCAAATAGTAAGCTGGACACTGCCAGGTGTGTGCCACCACCCCTCCCTGGGATGGCCTTGGGCGTGCACACATGCACACACTGCCCCCCCCCCCCCGCAGCTGCTCACCCAAGCCTTCTGCCAGTTAGGCCAGGCGTTGGCTTTTCAGTGTGGACCCCAGGTTCAGGAGCAGGTCCTGCTCTTCCGGGCTGTGCAGCGTTTTCAGAAGAGGTGGGACCTGTCAAGCTGCTTCCTGCATCCGCTGAGAAGCTCTGAGCTTGTTACTGTTTCCTCCGCCAGGCCTG